CTTCCTGAAGCACGATCTAATTTGAAAGGGAGCTGCCTGCACGCACTAGATCTTCAACCCTGCCGTCATGTAATTCGAGAATGCACGGCCTCTAATCCAAATCAGATGTGATTAATGTGCCGGCCAAACCACAAATTGATATTACTCCATGTTCCGCCGTGCTTTTACCACGCAATCGAGATGTGTGGGCTGTATGCATAGTTTTAAAGATCGCACACGCGAACCTCTTAATCAACGAAACAGGAGAATTTGATGAATTTAGCATCTCAGAAGTTGTCAGACTACAATCGATATCCGTACACAATCCAGTTAGATCAATGAGAAGATTGACGCTTTTGATGGCGCCTACTGTCTTATCTCTCAAACCAGAATTCGTTCGTTCATTCAAAAATGTGCAGACTTTTAACGCCCATTCGGATCAGAAAAATTGGTGCATTCAACTATCGTTTGAACTTCGTAATTCATAGCGCAAAAATTTATGGGCGGTACCTCTGATTCAGTTATGAAAAGTAGAGAGCACAGCTCCTGTTCATCTCATAAACATTGAAAAGTTGATTCAATGCGCCCTAATCATTCCTCGAACTGATGATTAATTAGGAATGTGCGAGATGCATGGTTTTTCCTGAAGCGAACCCGTAAGTACACTGAATCACGTGAATAAAAAACAGCTCAGATATATAAGAGGTGGGATTCTATTGAAACATCACACGATTTTGGGAAAAAATCAGCTCGGTTGTGTATGAATATATTCAAGCTACTCTGCGGCTACGTTTTTCTGTAAGCGAGATTTTGCTTTGCATTTAAATTCTTCAGCCAGAGATACCTGCGAAGAGATTCGAAGGCCTTTCCTCCCGAGCTTGATATTACCAGGTTCTATATGGCCCGACTTGAACGTAGCAGTATTTATAGAGAGATATGCGGCGACAGACCTTCGCGTTTGATCTCGAGTGCTTCTATGTATGACAAAGGTTATTCATAGCGAAAGTGAGCGGAGAGTTTGGAAAAGCGGTAACATTGATGGCACCCATTTCCCCCACAAAATCAGGGCATAGTTCGAAGGGGGCTAGCCGCATGCATTAGATTCCACACACCTACCACTGTGCAATCAAAAATGTACGGACCGGTGAATCCAATGCAGTTCAGAAAACTGGGACATCCACCTCCATTTCATCTCATGGGCTTCACAAGGCTGATTCATCGCATCCCTACCTTTGTCTGAACTGATGGTGCAAGATGTTCGGGCCGCATGCATAGTTTCTAGAGACTGCACACGCAGGTATCCCATTAACTTAACCTCACCGACGCAGAAAGTTTCGAGAGTGATCTGATGATTTCATATCTGGAACTTGATTGGGTCCATACAATATGCTACAAGAATGGTTCTCTTTACAATGCAGCGAGAAAATAATTGACACCTTCGCGTAATGAAGTGTGTTCGCCGCGCTTTTAATCTGACTTCTGAAATGAGGACATAATTTGAAAGGAGTTAGCTAGCACGCATTAGACTCCCGACAGCTGCCATTATGTGGGAGGGTGGGGAGCGGGCGGCTGGGGGAAATGTGTAGGCTTCAAACCCTATTCAGAGTGAAAAATGGGCACATCCAGCTACACTTCATGTCCTAAACATCATAAAGCTGATTTGTAGTTCAAAAACGTAAAAGCTTGCAATTCCAGTTCTTTTACGGGAAATGGGAACAAGCAACTCCAATTCATCTCATGAACTTCATGAAGCATATTACCGCACCCTTAATTCTCCAAATAATGGTGCATTAGGACTGAACGGATTGCTTGCATAATTAAAAAAAAACACTGAGGCAAACCTCTCAGTTCATTTTGTATAGGCTAGCCAGGTTGACGTAAAATTGACCGCCGCGGATATTTCCTTCGAATTCAAGGCGTGATATGGAAGAGTGTTGTCCGACGCGTATTATTATGTATCCAAAGAATATACGGATGCCTCTCTCCGAATCAGCTCAGAAAAATTGATATGTCTAGCTCCAGTTGGTCCGATGAACTTTATAAACATGATTCTTCGTGTGAGTCTTTAGAAAAACCTCAGGAATTACTGTCTCTGTCGACTAAACGACTTCGTTTCAAAGGCAAGTTGCACGACGAATCGCCAGGAAGATTAAGATTGATCCCCCCCCCCAGGCAGAAACGGTAGGGGTTGCAGGAGTCCTTCCAATGAGTAAACCTATAGCCCACTATTAAGCTGCAACCACCCACCCGCCCGCACACAAATGTC